GCAGGTAGTTAAACTGAGTTGAATTTTGGTCTGTTGAATTCATATTTGGCATATTGCTGACATTTAGCTATGCAGGGTCACATATGGAAAACTGGTTATGATAATAATGAATTGGAGGGAATAGTTTTTGATGATGTACCAGAAGCTCTAGAAAAGTGGCATGCCTTGGGTGTAAAGGTTGTTTTCACTGATTCTTAGCTCTATACCTCTTTTTAGCTCACTTGCTGACTATTTTCCTGCATTTTGACCATAGGTATCTTTATTGCTTAAGCATCATGCCAGTGTTTGGCAGAAGGGCATAAGATAACCATAGGTTAAGATGCCCTCTGTTAGCTAAGAACCTGTGCGGTTGTGAGGGCATATGATACCTTTCCAAACCCATTAACCGTTTTATATGAATTTCCAATTATATCCTTTTATTTATCAGCTTTCATTCTTATGAATAACCCATTCATCTTTGGTCCACTCTCTTTTTCTCCTTGGTTTGGTCTAGGTGCCCACAGTGGGCCCGTGAATGTAGGAAGGACTCCCCTAAGATAACTGGATAGTGGATACTGTCCCACAATGAAGAGTCCCTCTATCATTTACTTAAATCTGTCATCCATCCATTACATTCTTATCTCCTTCATCCAACCATAGTACCATTCTTTTTCTCTTTCTGCCACATGTTGACTCACCCTTGGTTCCACTAAACTGGCTTAAGAGGCATACTATCAAGCTACCAAGGAATAGAAACAAAGAGTTGGCCTATCTATTAAAAAATTCTACTTGCCAGCATTAATGTTTCTGCTTATGGTACTGCTGAATGTCTAAAACGTAAATACTTGATGTCTTACTCTGAATGCCTATAATGTCAATTCTGAATGGCCCCTATCTCCTTTCTCTAGTATATTTCTCTTACTACCTCTTTAGTTATCAAAATATACAATTCTGCACCCGGCCAAGGGTTGTGAGGGTGAGGTAATTTTTACTTTCTGCTGTCTCAAAAATGAAATGAAGTGTAATCACATTTTATTCGTCATTGATATTTGGAGAGCATATTTTCTTGCATTTGAATTGCTATTTCTGATCTACGCAACAGGTATACATATATTCTAGTGGTAGCAGGTTGGCTCAAAGGCTAATATTTGGAAAAACAAACCATGGGGACCTAAGAAAATATTTGTCTGGGTTTTTTGACACCACTGTGGGGTAAGGCTTTTATGTTGATGTTCCCCCTAGACGATTCCTGTCCAAAGATGCATATATTCACGCAAAACTCATTTTTGCAGGAACAAAAGAGAGACACGCAGTTATGTTGAAATTTCCGAGTCACTCGGTGTTGATAAACCATCAGATATTTTATTTGTAACTGATGTATATCAAGAAGCCACGGCTGCAAAGGCAGCAGGTATGAACATTTTAATTAATCCATCTTCTTATTTATAAGTTAAATTTTATCAATAAACTGAGTCCATCTCATGTAGTATGTTTTTGAGCTTTCTTAGGGAGCTGGCAAGAGTAAGTAAACTGAACCAAACATATTTGTAACTATTTTTTTTTTTGGTTGCAATGAAGACTCTATAAATGTCATGTTTTATATTAATGTTTGGTTCACTAACGGTCAAAGATCAATTATATAAATGAAACAGAAAATGAGTACAACTTGTGTGTAATGTGTAAAATTAAACTTGTAGAAAATTGTTATCAACTTCAATAATTTATCTGTGCACCCTTTGGAGTCCTGCATCTACTTATACACACCACTTGCACCCACACACATCACTGTATGGCTGACTGCAAGCAAAAAGCAAAATCTAACTTGACATTTGTGTAGGCCACACTATCAATTGTGAGTGTGACCTCCCAATTGGTGTGGTAGAGAAATTTCTCTAGGATCCCACTTTTATGACTAAATAAGAAATTGCTTATTTTGTCTGCACATATATTTGTTTACAATTGTCCTGTTTCAGGTTTGGAGGTGATAATTTCTATTCGCCCTGGAAATGGACCCCTCCCTGACAATCATGGGTTCAAGGCAATCAAATCCTTCTCAGAGATCTAGGACTTGTAGCAGGCATCTGGAATGGCATTAAATGTGTTATCATAACTAAGAATAATTGTGTAACGTTCAGTTCTTGGTATAAAATAATGTAATATATTTTGCTTCAATTTCTTTAAATTTCAGTTTATATTGCCTCTTTCAATGCTTTTTTAAATTATTTAAATACATTCACTGTACATTTTCATCAGTTATTTTTAAACGACATGTTTTTGTTCTCTAGACATTGACATTCTTAGTAACCAAACAGATTTTATTAGTGAATAAGGATTGCTGAATAAAATGAAATAAAATAAATTGAGCTTTTTCTTCACAAGTCAAAATTAAAGAAAATTGTTTTTATGGAAAATTCATTGGATTAATTTTAACATGCATGAGGAATTTAATTTATTCTAACTTTGTAATTTCTTTTCTAATAAAATGTTTATAGAAAAATATGGGGTAAAATTTACATGTATTGAGTACAATCAAAATAGCTATGATTGGTGTTTTTTTCAATGATAAAGACTTTCATCGAATCTTTTTAGCAAGATGTAAAATATCAAAGAAAAAAAATTTGAATTTGACTGGGGAAGGGGACAAAAACAGTAATTAAGGTACATGAGTAGAAATCAGACTTATTCTATAGTCCAATAATGCTTTTTAATATATATTTTCCCCACTTAATTTGGAAAAGAAAATTTGAAGATATTATTTTATTGAAATGTATGTGTGTGTATATATATATATATATATATATATATATATATATATATATATATATATATATATATATATATATATATATATATATATATATATATATATATATATATATATATATATATATATATATATATATATATATATTTCTTATTTTATTATGTAAAATATAAACATTCTAGGAATGGTACAAGTTTTTTTTCTTCCATTGTTGAATGAAGCCAACCGAATTGCACTCTGTTAGGTCAAGATGCCTTCCCATTTAAGCAATGAAAGAAAAGCACTATATGATTTCCAATTCTGAAAAAGGTAATTTTTTTCACAAAAATTTTACATCATTCCTACGTTACTTTTGTTATATTTAGATTGGTGTGGACGAAGTGAATGAGAAAGGAGTTCCTTTTGCTTCGTGTTCAGGCTTCGTAGCGTGTTGGGAATTCATGTGTAATTCTTCAGCAACGTTGTTAATCACGCATGACATGCTTGCCGTTTTTTTTGAACTTTGATTTGAAGGGTTAATTTCTATGGAGTATTAAATCATGAATCTTTGAACTCACAATAAAAATTTCATAAATCTTTGAACCTCTATACGTCAACAATGAACACCAACACTTCATACCAGAAACACAATTCCAGTCAAAACAAGTACCCTTCAAGCTTTCTTCCATGAATTTCCAACATGTCTTTATCTTACCTCTGCAAAAGTTGATTATGTCTTTTTTATCATTAAAAACAGAATCCACTCTGCATATAATTTTCCCTGGTCCAAGTCACAGGTTCTTTTTTTGTTTTTTTCACTAAGCTTATCATTAACACTGAAGCTACTTAGTTTTCCTTTAACCAAATTTCAACCATCTACACATGTTGTGTGTAAAATGGACCTTTCTAATGCATCCACAATATATTAAAAAAGAAAACAACAAAATCAACAACCTTTTTTCCACATGCCTAGTTTAAAATATAATTCAACTTGACACACCCATTGGATTATTTCTGCATACACAATTTATTTTTCTTTATGCATGTTTCTGTCATTACTCATCTCGTTCCATACTTTTTATTTCATTTTCTTTCTATCTATGTATGTTTATGAAAAAGGAATTTCTACAAGCTTGTTTTTTCAGTTGTTTGTGGTATATATGTATATATCATATAGTGTTAGCAACTTGGTCATGTTACAAGCTACCTAATTAGGTGCTATCTTTGTGAAAAGAAGTGGTGTAGCAGAAGATGTATAAAAACTAGGAGGAAGAAAAATAGAATAACTTGGCAGTTTACTGTTCACTGCACCAGCACTAGCAGCTGGGTCCAACCTAGATGTACCTAAATGACAAAACAAAGTCTAAAAGGGAGAAGAAAAGAAAAAGGGTGGTCTTCACATTTTCTCTTCTTTTGTTATTTACATATGGTTTCTTTTCGACCTTACTTTCTCTTAGGATGATGATTGTAACAAAAGTCCCACTTTCTCTATCTTATCTCCACTCTTGTCATTTTGTCTACTCTTCAATGCTTCCCATTACAATATAAGAAAATTTAAATCAACAAAACAAGAACTAAGAAAGGGAAAATGGAAAGAGAGAGGAGAAAGCTTCCTAGGTGCTCTATTTTATAAACTATTGGAATTTGGTGATCTCATGATGGTGCATTTACTTTAATTTTTGCTGACAGTGTGTATAGAATTTATGACTTTCATTACTGCATAAAATGCAGTTTCAATGATCGTAAAGACTAATTATATATGTTAATTAAAAATTAATGCAGTGATTATAATGAAATAAATTATGAAAACGTTAAAATCATCCCTGCCGATGATTATTGATCTATATTTATTTATTCAAAGTTTGACCCGTGTTCCACAATAGTGAAACTTAATCAGGATTTCAGTAAGAACAGGTAAAAAACATGAAAGAAAAAGAAGTTCAGACTGTGCAAAATGTGTGTATAGTCCTGTCACTCTTGCACAGGCATGTTAGAGAGCCACAACTACAATTAATTCGTTTACCTTGTTTGATTTCTCATACCACAAACCACAAGTGTTATCATCATCTTATGTTGTTAAAAGTTTGGTCTTTGTTTCCCTAGTACTAGGAAAACATTAGCCTCTTTATGCGGGCCACACAGAAAGTTATTGTGATCAATAAACATGCATTAGTCTTACATAAGATACAATTTTTGTGATGAACACATAAGTGTGCTATGTCTAGATTATTGTTACAAGTACGAGTAGGGTACTGACATTATGCATAAATGTTCTGCATTTAAAAACGAAGCAAAGAAAGAAAAGTGTTATTTGCTTTACTTCTTGATCAGATTGTACTTGAAAACTGACACAGAAATGGTTTTTCTAGCCATAGGTGTCAGCAAAAAAGAAAGAGAAATAGAAAAGAAGCAAAAACACATTATCATTATCTGGGTTCAGTTACTTGAGAAAACTGATTAGACTAAATTGGCATATAACCAAGAAGAGGGACCCTCCCACCCTTCATCAAGTTAACCCACCCACCTTCCTTTTGGTGCATCTTTCTGCGATGATGACAACTTAGGATACGGTTATGTCCTTTCCATCACTGAATTCCAGTAATATGTGTCCCTTCCAAGCAACCTCATTCCCTTGTCTTCTCTTCTTTTTTCCATCTTTGGATTCTCTTCATCCGAACACACACTTCACAGGTGGTGGTTGGTGTGACAAAGCAATCACAAACACAGACACAGTGAAGACCATTATTCATTGAATTCATCACACTGAATCAAAAGAGACACCCTGGCTTATGATTATTCTCAAGGTGTGTTTTCCTAACAACAATAATGACCCTTGAAGAACTAGATGAAACAGGGAGAGAAAAAAAAAATCATTGGACAAAGACACTCTTTTTTGCTTCTTTCATTTATGGAAAGGAAAAAGATACCAATATTTTGAGGTGGGAAAACAAAGCAGGAGAATAAAGAAAGAGTTGCCATTTCATGGTATGAAAGCCACTTTTACAATTAGACCAAAGCTTTGTACCTTGTTGATGGAGGAAACCGTAAACCATTCAAATCAAAAACCCATGTAACCATTCTCTCTATCTAAATCATCCACAACACAGGACACAATCTCTTATCTTTATCTCCTCAGGAGGGTGATTCTGAGACTCTAGGTGAGGTAAGTGGGAACAAAGGCAAGAGCTGTGGTTCTGAGTCTCTGGGGGTGGACATGGGAGAGGGATGCAAGTAGAAGCCCTTTTCTGCTATGGCCTTTTCCTCCTCTGATGAGTTTCCTAATGAAGGGGAGGACTTGTCAAAAGGGTCATCATTCAATGGGGTGACAGGGCTGAGAGCAAGGGAAGGGAAGTCAAGCAAACTTGGGGAGAGGATCTCTGGCTTATTTCTTGGTGAGAAACCAGGAGAGTTGTTTCTAGCAAAATTGGGCATCAAGGTGTTGAGCATGAGGCTGTTCTTGAGGCTGTTCCTCCTCTCATAGAGCTTTCCCTGCTTCTTTGGTGGAGTCTTGATTGGGGGGATGTTGAAGTTTCTTGATGGTGGAGGTGGTGGTGGTTGAGGCACTGGATCTTGTGCTTGCTTTGTTGTGTCTGATGAACCAGTTAACATTTGGACCACCTGCTTGAAAGTGGAGGTATCAGCTTGGACAAAAGTTGTAGGGTAGGGGTTGGAATCAGATCTGGGGATGGTCTTGGGAGTGAGGGGTGGTGTTGTGATTGGGATGCCATTGCTGTTGCTGCTGCTCATGCAATTGCTCACATTGCTTGTTGGAGAGTTCATAGGAGAAGGGTGGCTCTCTCTTTCTTGAAACCTTGAACTGATTTCCATGCCCTTCAACCAAAAACCAAACCAAGAGAGAAACCAAAAGGGTTAGGGGTGATTTGGGTGGGGATTGGAGAAGAAACACATGAAAGAGTGAAAAACAAGGCTCAAGAGAATGAAAGAGAGGGTTGAAAAGAAAAGAGGGTTGCTTGCTTATTGTGCTTTGCTGTTCTTTCTATACTATACTATATACTATTTTTTTTTGGTTTCTTTTTCTCATACTATTCAAACTTTTTCTGAGCAATAAAATATTTCTCTCCCTTAAAAATTGATTTTTTCTTTTGTGGGGCTTGAGGGTGTTGCTGGCTAGAGAGAAAATACCCCCAACAAGACTAGGGATTTATAAAGACAGAAGGCAAGGGAATTGTTAGAATTGGGAATTTTGGTATGAGGCATCTGTACCACACCACTGGCAAAGCTATCATTGTTTGTGGTGTTAAACATATTTGTGACATTGACTTGAAAACCTAACTGCCAAGACTATTGCATTTGCATATGTGATGGGATATTTATGTTCCATGTTTCAATTCATTCCTAGACTCTCTGCCTTTCTGTTCTGTTCTGTTATCTTATGTTGCTTTGTAATTCAGATACAAAAATACTCACATGGATATGTAAACCACTTAACTTTGCAACCTGCCTAACTTAGACAAATAAAATGACAGGGAAGATCAAATAAGAGAATATAATGTTGTTTGTGTTCAAAACTTCAAAGAATATTTTTTCATATTTGTTTTTTGCATTTTGGAGAATAACTTGTTTCTTTTTATAAGTGTACACATAAGTTAATACTAACTGCTACATCTTTTCCTACTTTTAGAATTTGAAATTCGTTCAGTCAATTTATCATAACTTGTTTAATACAAAAATTATTGTATTCAAACTTGGGTTAAGCTTATAATAAAAAATTCCATCTTAAGTTAAGGTTAGAATTCTTTTTGTTTTCTAATTCTTATAAAAAAATTAATTAAATCTTTAATTTTTATTTAGTTCAATTTCATTTTTTAGTTTTTTAAAATGATAGTATAATTCATCAACCAAAATTTAATAAAAATCAAGATTATAAAAATAATTGAAAATAACTTTTTAAAATAATAATAATAATAAGAATAAGAATATCATAAATAACAAGTTCTAAGTACATTTTAAAAGTTTTAAAATATGTATTTTTTAATTGAAATTTAATTTATTGGAAAAAATTAATATGAAACAAGTAGGAATATAATAATAAAGTCTTTCTGTATTGCGTCACTGGTACAAGTCTGGACACAGAACTAAGTCAGAATAGTGAGAATATTTATTTATAATCAATTTCTTTGAATGCATTTTTAATATTTTGCTCATGCATATTAACTATCTTATTTTCTTTTAATTAAGAAACAGAAAAATGTTTATTTGAATTGCATATTCAATTTGAATATGTATTCAAATTGAAATGTAACTCTAACTTCTAATATATTTTCTTAAAAATAATTCTTCTTTTTACACACAAAAAAACCTTTTAATATTATAAAAGATAAAATGGATGAGACTTTTTGTAAAATTAGCCTGCATGTTCACACCAAATATATCAAATGCATACGTGAACTTTTTGACAAAAGAACATAAAAAAGGATAAAAGAATCTCAATTTGCAGCCTGATATTAATACTTCAAAAATAAAACTAATCATATTCTCAATCAGTTATATGATAAACGTTATCAAAATGTTACAGAACCATATTTTTTATCATTAACTAAAATACATGATAATTAATGAAGAGTTGCAGAATTTTATAAATTTCAGTAAAGTTAAACTATTATGAAAAAAAATATTCCAAAAGTGTATTAATAATATATAGCTAACACATATATACATCTGCTTAAATAAACAAAAATTATAATTACATAGTATTCTACCATATCAGAGCTGACTGCAGAACAGAATGAATGAGAAACATATACTGATGAGGCAATAGTTTATATTGGATAAGGAATTTTTTTAGTGGTTAATATATAAGAGAATCATGTTGTAAGAAAAAACAATCATATATTATATAGATCTTAATCATATCCTATTATAGTTTGTTTTCATTAATTTTTTCTGTCTTGCAACATGATCCTCTCATGTTGGATTGTTCTTTTGTTAAAATTTTCAAAGCATCTTGTACTGGTACTGAAACACGAAAGCTGAGTTATTTGAATTTACATTCAGTATTCAAAATATCTGCATCAGTAAGAAATAATTAACATGTTAATATGATGATAATGGGCTTAATTAAATGAATTATTTAATGAGTGTTTTGTACCTTAATGGCTTATGGGAATCAGTTCGAAAAACAAAGTGCAGCAGCAGCAGCAGGAGGAAGCACTTGTGGATTCCATATAAGTTTGATTGTACAAAGCTGCTGACTGGTAACATGTAATTTCAAATATCTCCACTTGAGTTAGTGGTTTAGATTTTTCTTTCCACACTTTAAAATCTTGAAAAGCTAAAAAAGAAAAGGGAATCAAATTCTGATTTATATTATTTACATTAAAAAGGAGATAGACAGCAGAAGAAGAAGAGACGATGGGGACCAAATGCCAATAAGACAAAGTCACACAGTGCTTTTAAGAATTTATTTATTACTCTTTAATGGATGATCATTATTAGGGTAATGTGGAATCCATTTTTAAACCCTTCTGTTATGCAGAATTTATTCATTTCTCATGAAAATAAAAAAGTTGTCAGTTTATTATTACCTGGTTAAGTGTCAATGAAGAAACCTACTGTACTGGCTATCATTAATCATCATATAATGCTTTCAATTTTCAGCATGGATAAATTATTATATGTCAAAGTGTGGACTGCATAGAAAATGAAAAGTTTTGTTTTTTTTTTACATGATCTTTTATGGTAATTAATTAGAGAAAATGAAAAGTGATTAATAAAAGAGGTTTTTTCCCAAAAGGGTTTGATTGATGAGGTGCTAAAATGGGTGAGAGAAATTAAAATGCAAATGGGTGTTAGAGAGAAAGTGAGATACCATGCCCACCTTGAAGTGGGAAATGAGTAAGCATTGAAGAATGAGTATAGCAATGAACACATGACAGAGCGCAATACCAAATTATGTGATATCTTCTGCAACAAAAGAGACCATATACTAAAATTAAAGTGAAGTCATGATCTATTTTTCTGAAAATGACCCTATTTTTTGTTCTTCGCTTCTATTGGTGGACTCACATGATTGCAGAATTCGCATATACAATAACAAAATTCTTCAACCAGAGATATTATCAATGGAATTTCCATACAACACCCAACATCTACACATCTTCTGTAACTATCATAAGAAGACAAAAAAACAACATAACCCTCCCTTCCAAAACATGTTATTCTTTACATCATAACTCAATTCCAAGCTTTGTTCGAAATTCAAGCAAGAGTTTAAGTTGAATAAAAAGAGAAAATGGAATATTATATAAGAATAAAGATCTATTAATTTACTACTTTGAAGTTTTGGATTGGAAATAATATCAATACTTTATGTAATTGAACTCAGATCTTATTCATGTTGTATCTTTCCTATCAAACTCTTTCTTAACAAGTATATATATTTTGGAGATCTTATATCATTTTGTTTCGGTTTGTGGGGTGGAAATTAATTCTTCTAGTAAGAAGTGTCTTCTTATTTTTTGTTCTGGTCATGATTTAGTTTTTAGACATCCTCACATCTTTTGGTCTGTTTGGGTGGCATATGTAGAAAATATTCTAACACTCAAATTAGTATTTGTTTGAATAAATGCATAATTAAATAATCAACTACTTAAATATTAAACTTTTTCGATAGACTTCTGATTAGAGTTGACCCAATTACTGTTCATGTATCCCTAACTTAGCTTAAAGTTAACTTGATTATTTTTGACAATTAATCTTATTAATATTCTGACCAACCTTTTATTGTTTGTCGTCACGACAGTTCATACAATACACATTTAAAGATAAAAGATCAATTTACTACTTACAAATAAATTAATTACTTTATAATCTTTCAAAAGCTAGACTAATTACTCTCCTTAGGTAAAATGTGATGAAAGTAAAAGTGTTACATGGTGCATGCATGTTCCAAGAAAGGGGGTTTCCAAACTGATGCAGTGGTTGATTTATAAAATAAAAAGTTTACTTTAGTGCTTTTTAGTGACACAGAAGAAAAGAAAGTAGATATATATTGAAGCAATGAAAGGGGCATAGTGTCCTAAAACCACTATTGAACATATTTATATACATCTTGAAGAGCATGGAATAACCTTCCAGACAAAGAGCACATTAAAATATACCACGATGCTATTTTATTTATCTTGAAATAGTGGGATGTGCATGCTTTGATAAATTTCTACAGTGTTGATAATTATAGCTGTCCATTGCCAATTGGTGAAGAGAAATATGTTCCCTAAACATACACAGACGGTGACTTATAAACTATTTTCTCATGTCAATGCAATAAACTGACCAATCAAAGAGCAAAATTCTATAACAAATGTTATTGGCCGGCTTCTTTGACTCCAGTCCATACACACCCTTAAACTATTCAAACTATTAGGTGTCATTGCTGCTTCTTATGCAATAGGTGTCATTGCATCATTTTTTTAATGCTAACTTTTCAGTTTTCACTTATTTTATCAATCAACTATACTTTTTTACCAAAATAATAACTTTTAAACTTCATCAAAGTCACACCAAACTAGATATTAATAAATGGGTCACAGAATATATCTAACAAATATTAAATATAGTTAAAATAGATTTGGAATAATTTTGATATTATATTGAAAAAATGAATTTTAAATTTAATTTAACTTTAAAAATCAACTTAAAAGATTATATTTACACTCACTCACTCACTCGTATACAATAAATTTATTCATGAATCTACGTGAGATGTTCGTTAATTTTATATCATTCGTATAAATTACATAAAACTGAAAACATATGAGCCTAGTAAGTAGGAACTGAAGCTAAAACAGACCTTGAAGGTGACATAATTAAAGGCTAAGTTTGGCGGACCTGCAAGGCCAAGACAATTATAATATATATATATATATTAAAAATTTGTAGAAAGAAACATAAAAAGATTGGGTTTTGAATCTAAATAAGGCTACGCCGAAAAGTTTGACAATTGGTAGGCCACTTTAAATTGATTGTTAGGCAAAGTCCACAGAATTTGTGACAGTTTTTCCTTTTTCATCAGAGAAAAAAAAATCATAAAATTAACCGACTTATCTGCTATTAGGGTAAATTAAGAGTTCTTAGAATCAATTGCTACATGTGAAGTGATGTCTATTTTAAATTTTAGAACT